TATTTTATTACTAGTTGTTAATCTTATTGTACCCAATTCACAAATTGAACTTTATCGTAGGTAAATGTGTACAGGAAAAAGCAGTGTATGTAGGGTTCGGTATTATCTGTGATTTCAGGCATCCACTGGGGGTCCCGGAACGTATCTCCTGCAGGTAAGAGGGGGCCACTGTAGTCCATATTGTCTCCAGAGCACCGTTTCCCTAGAAACCATCTCCCTAGTCCACACAGCAACTGCCTCATGCTCTGTTATCAGGAGGGCCCTGCCCCTGGGCACAGCAGGTTAGTGTTAGCGTAGTTACAACAGAATGTTATTAGAAAAGGTGTGGAGAACCAGAATGTTATGCACTGCTGATAGCTGTAATATATGTTGGTACAGCTCCTAAGAAGGGCAATGTCTCAATATCCATCCAAGTTACAAATGTATATATATACTCTTTGACTCCGTAACACTGCTCTGGGGAATCTAGCTGATGGAACTGAAGCATACATGGACAGACACCTATACAAAGTATACAACTTTTTAAAATTATATGACTGTTTGTAATATTTAACCACAAATGTATCTATAAATGAGAGACTGGTTCCATAAACCATGACACATCCATACTACGGAGAGGCCAGGAGACGGCGGCTGCCAAGTTCCGCTGTGCAGTGAAAGGGCCGGGTGCAAGCAGGCTGGTGTGAGCGGCATGCTAAGTTCAGTGTAAAAGTGCAGGAAGTCTATTGTTACTCGGCTTATTTTTATAAAATAAAATAATGAAAGGAATCATAAGAAACTAAGAAGAGTGTTGTCCTGGCTGATGTAGTTCAGTGGACTGAGTGCCAAACTGTGAACCAAAGGGTTACCGGTTCGATTCCCAATCAGGATACATGCATGGGTTGCAGGTCAAGTCCTCAGTAGGGGGCATGGGAGAGGCAACCACACATTAATGTTTCTCTCCCTCTCTTTCTCCCTCCCTTCCTCTCTCTCTAAAAATAAATAAAATAAAATCTTTTTTAAAAAAACAAGTAAGAGGAGTTACGACTCTGTAGGCATGAAAAAAGGCATGAGAAAACCTTGCATTAGAAAACTGAATGTTCTGTATTTTGATCTGGGTGACGGTTCCATGGGCCTATATGTGTAAAAAGCCAACAAGCCTTACAGTTAGTGTACTTAATGCACTTAACTCTGTGTATGAAGATATACATTACACTTCAATAAAATTTTAACAGTATCAAAAATGTTTCTGAGGAAGATTTAATGATATAACTAAAAGCGTACAATATAATGTTAAATCCAAAAAGGTAGGGTTTGGCCCTGGCTGAGTAGCTCAATTGGTTGGAGCGTCATCCCGATGTGGGTTCAGTCCCCAGCTGGGGCACATGCAGGAGGCAACCACTGCGTGTACTGGTGGGTGGAACAGTGAACTGATGTTTCTCTCTCTCTCTCTTTCCCAACGAATCAATACATTTAAAAAAAATTTAATATAAAAAATGCATTTTACACTGATAGGGAACATAATCATACTTCTGAGTTTAAAAAAAGAAGTAGAAGGGGGGAAGGATTAAAGAAAATACACTGAAATGGTAACTGAAGGTAGAAAAAATTTATACTTTAGTATATTTTCAAAATGCTCTGCAGTTTCCAATCAGATTGGCTGATTAAATAAATAAACACACAGACACAGAGTCATGCGCCACATAACATTTCAGTCAATGATGGATCACATACACGACAGTGGTCCCTTAAGACTGTAATGGAGTTGAAAATTTTCTATCACCTGCTGACGTGTAGCTCATAACACTGTGGCGAAATGCATTATTGCACTGCCAGTTGTATAAAAGTTTAGCACATGCAATTATGTATAGTACAAAATACTTGATAATGATAATAAACAACTATGTTAATGATTTACTTACTATACTATATCGTTATTTTAGAGTGTACTCTTTCTACTTACAAAAATGTTTGCTATAAAACAATATGCTGTGTTATGGAGGCAGGAGCCTCCTATATCTCACATTTACTGTGTCTCTTGATTGCACAGTCCCTTGTAATTGATGCAATTTCATGTTTTATACAGTAACATGCTGTTCAGGCTTGTAGCTTAGGAGTCACAGGTTATACCATATAGCCTGGACGTGTAATAAGCTGTACCACCTAGGTTTGTGTAAGTGTGCTCTACGATCTTCACGATGATGAAACTGCCTAATGGCACATCTCTCAAGACATATCCCCATCATTCATCAATGAATGATTGCTGGGGTTTTGGGGTTTTTATGAGATTATATTTATTAAAGCTGGGGACAGTGAAACAAAGGAAGGGCTTAGAAGAAGCAACAGGAGAGCCTGGGTGGGGCTGCTTGGGCTCCCTAGAAACTATGGGAAAGAACGGAGCCCAGGCGGGGCTGCTGTCAGCTCACCAGAGAGTCAGAGAAGAGGGGGCCTTGGGGGCAGGCTCGGGGGTGAGCCCAGGACGCGCTGGTGCCGCCCACTGCTCCCCTGGTTGCAAGTCTCTTAGGGACTCGTACAGTTTAGGAAAGGAAAGTAAAAAGGCACACCTGAAGTGGGGAGAGAGGTGTGCGCGTGCTCCAGAAAGAGCCTGCCAAGTGACCGCATTTAAATTCAGAAAAAAGGTACCCATTAGATCTAGGGGTTGAGGACATACAGAAAAAAAATAAAGATCTGTAAATTTATTAAAAGAACGTTTAAACATTTAAAACATAACAATGTTGGCACAAATGTCAGTGAGTGACTTCAAAGAACCAGGTTAACACCCAAATAGTGTGCAAACATGGTCTGTTTATTTCACAAAGTACAAGATATAGAGAAAGGGGAGGGGAAAAACACCTAAAAGCCCCTAGGAAGGCAAAGAAACCATTGTGCTCAAGATTCAAAGACAGGAAATTAAAAAACTGCACGTTTTCTGAGGAGGTCCGAGATGGTGGCAGCGTAGGAGGACACCGAACTTGACCCTCCAAAAGATACATTGAAATATACACCTACCTACAGATCAAATATTCCCAAGAGACAACAGAGGGCTGAACGCACAGCTTCTGAACAACACGTAGAGAAGGCTGGGGAACTGCAGGAGCTCTCCGCACGCTGCGGAGACTCACTGGGAGATGCAGGAGCCCTCTCAAGGTCGGAGGCGCTGGTTTCTAGTTTAGCAAAGCAAACTTGGGCAGGTGAGTGAGGAATGAAAGGAAAAGCAACATGCCTGTGGCCAAAACCACCTTGGAGCAGCCTATTTCAAATGATACCCTTCCTCGGGCATTTCAGTGGGGGAAACAAGGGGAAAGGGAAAAGAGATAAGGAATGTGCAAGTATCCCATAAAACATCAGTATGCCAAAATCGTACCTGTGCTATTCAACAGATTCTTTAAGTTTCCTATGACGAAATACTTACTACTTCAGAAAACCTATCAAGTGCACATCAAACAACCTAGTCTGGCTATCATATTCTCTGGGGACCCAATGGGGAAGCATTATAAAAATAATGCCTGTTAAAAAGTTAAGTCCTCCCAGCTTCATTGTCATCGTCACCTCTGTAAGTTAGTATGACTATCTTTTGCCCAATTATCAAAAGCACCTAGAACTGATTAAACCTCCATGATAGTAAAACCCGGTGACAGCCCAAAGTTCACTGGGACTCTGTTATTACTGGCTCTAGTCTCTTTTCAATCTTATTTTTTTTTTTTTGAGGCTCTCGAAACCTTAAGTAAACAAATCCAACAGCCAGTGAAAACTAACACACCCAGAAACTCTCCATGAAACATTTACTTCATAGTTCACAATAGACTGTCCTACTCCATCTACGGGTGGCCTTGCCTGGAGCTAAAGGTCACAAGAAAACATTCCCCAACACCTTCAGGCTTTATGGGTGGAAAAAACAAGGAGGAACAAAGAACAAGCAGGCTCCAAGGAGAGCACAGGGACACCGAGCTGTCTTCTCCATGGTGTATTTTATACATCCCGCACCTTATGACCTTCCCAAGACTGCTTCATTTTTGCTCCGTAACAATTTAAAAACAAAAACAAAAAAAAACTTCATCTACATTTCTAGAATTAAACACCAGATGTATACAATGCTAGAGCTAAAAGAGCCTTCAGGATGAGCAATGTCTTCACCCCTGACCAGCAGTACCCAGCTAGTCCTTCCTGCTTAGCTCCTACTAGCAAAAAAAAAATTTCTGCCCTGGAACCAGTGTCCAGGATTCTCAACTAACCTTCATGGAAGATATCAATCTGCTCAGAGAAATGCATGATAACAGTTCCTGAGGTTGCTCCCAACAGCATTCTAACAGGGGATTCCCGAGAAACAAAGTCTTACTCCAAACATCTCCATAGACAGGTTAGGTTATCAGTACCATGCTTTGGGGAGATATTTTTGAAGGGAGAGACTCTGTGGGCTTTCAGAAATCACATCACATAGGAAGCCACTACCAGTAGGATTAACAGTATATATACAAAAAAGGAAATTGCCCTAATCTCTCTCTGCCTCACTCAAGTTATTTCATAGGTAAGTATTTGTGCACAGGTAGACACTGATTCACCAGGCTGTTCTCCATGTAAAAAGTGTAAAGGTCTGCTACCTGCTACTGCTCTATAAAAACACCCTTCGGCAATCTTGACCCAAGACAACACCTTGAGTAACAGTGCTTCCCACCACAGGAAAAGGAGGAAAATAAAAGGAGACCCGGGTGGCGGGGGCAGAGGGTGGGGGCGTTTGTTTTGTAATGGCCAAGTTCTTTCAACATGACTCCTTTAGAAGTCATCCATTTTCAGTGCCTACATCCACTTCTTAAAAATGGAAATCTGATTTTTCCCTTGTTGTAAAATAATTTCCAATTATCCCACCTTCCTCAAGCCTACGTAAAACCCAAGGCCACAACTCTGCAACACACAATAATTCTAAGAACAAAGTTTCACAAAGCACTAAAAGTCAAGTTTAGAGATAGAAACCTAGGGGTTTAATAAAAGATTGGGTGCTTGCTGATTTTTTTAAAAATACTTACCCATTCTTCGACATTGGGGGGCTGCTCATCATAAATACGTTCCTTGTCCCATAAAATATTCGACTTGTCATACTGGTCCATCTTCCTTCGAGTTTTCACAGCAAAGAAAATTATTAGAGCAAAAGCCACAATCACCATGAACCCCAGTACAATGGCAATGGCCTAAAAAGAGATGAAAGATATTTACATAATTAGATATTAATTGCTTAATTTATCCCAATGCACCCTCCACAAGTACCTAATCCACACTCAACAAGTACCTTACTAAATATCTGTGGCTTAATCAATATAAAACTGATACAAATGTTACATTTTACAAATATAAAACCTAGCCCATACCCATTGGGCTAATGCTAGCAAAAGACACACACCTTAGTTCAATCCTCAGAACATGGTTCATTAGCATTAGGTACTATCATCAACCCATTCCAGAATTTTTGGAGAGAACTATTCCAAAGCTCGAGCACCAAGGTGCCATATTTTATAGAGGGTCTGTCTTACCATAAATTATGCAGACATGCTCTAACCAGGCTATACATTAAGAGAAAATGGACCAATGACTCATTTAGCCTGGCCGGCTTCTGGTTTTAGAGTCTTCCCTGTACGTGCTAGAAAGGGCCCTGTGACAGGGAAACCCTGCCCGGGACCGTCTCCCAGGGCCAGGTGGGTATGCGAAGTGGTGCGCTGGCGCCGGGGAACTTGGTGGCGCCGGGGAAGTTGGTGGCGCCGGCACAGGCACTCCGCCCTGGGTACCTGCAGACGGGTAACAGGAGGCTCCCGATGCAGCTGTCTAGCTAACAGTGATAGCCACTTTCGAAGAATACAGGTTTAGGGTAGTCAGAGGACTAAAAAAGGATGCAGTGTGGTAAGATAGTACCAACCCTCAGCCCTGTTTGCTATAACTATATCTGAATGGGCAACAACAAACATTCTGAAAACCTACAGTTGCAGGGAAACCATTTCAGTCTTTAAAACAGAGTGACTCATTCCGGTAAAAGAAGAAGAATTCCTAAGTCAGTGTGAGGAGAAAAAGAAGAACAAAACAACACACAAAGTTAAAAATTTAGTAACCCAGAAACATTTTCTTAATAGAATTAGGGGGTTACTCACGGTTGCTGAAGGCAGGCTTCTTTACCCCACCTGAACATTTGAATCACCTGGATAGCTTTTAAAAATACTGACTTGTACTCTAAAAATTTACAAAACACTGTTGCAAGGAGTTAAAGACAACCTAAGTAAATGGAAAGACATTGTATTTTCATGTATTAGTAGACTTGATGTAAAAATGACAATATTCTCCAAATTGATGAACAGATTCAATGCAAAATACTAGCTGGGGTTTTTGAGTTTTTTGCAGAAATTCACAAACTGATCCCAAAATTCCTATGAAAACAAAAGGGACCCACAATCTAGCCAAAACAATCTTGAAATAGAACACAGTAGGAGGACTCCCACTTCCTGGTTTCAAAACATACTATAAAGCTACAATAATCAAGACAGTGAGGTATTAGCATAAGAATAGAAATACAGGTTAATCAAATAAAATTGAGAGTTTAGAAACAGATCCTAACATTTATTGCCTGTTTTTGACTAGGGCATGAACAATGGTGAAATAGTCCTGTCAAAAAAGAAGACCAATACAACTGGACACCTACACGTAAAGAATGTTAAGACTCCTTCCTTATACCATGCCCAAAATAACCTCGAAATAGAACACAGACCTAACTGAAAGAGCTAAAATTAAAAGTCTTAGAAGAGCCCTAACCAGTGTGGCTCAGTTGGTTGGAGCGTCATCTGGTAAACAACAAGGCCATGGGTTCAATTCCTGGTCAGGGTACAAGTCTAGGTTGTGGGTTCGGTCCCCAATCGGGGGGCAATGTTTCTCTTGCCCTCTCTCTCCCCCTTCCCCTCTCTAAAAATCAGTAAGCATGTTCTAGGGTGAGGATTTAAAAAATATATATCTTAGAAAAAAACCACAGCAGTAAATCTTTGTAACTCTGAATTAGGTAAAGTGTTCTTAGATATGACACCAAAAGCACAAGCAACAAAAGAAAATTCAAACCAAATGAAAATTGAAGTCTTTTGTACAAAGAACAACACACAGAAAGTGACACGAGAATGACAAAATGGGAGAAAATACTTCAAGTCATGTATCTATAAGGGACTTGTATCCAGATATAAAAAGAATTCTTACAACTTAGTAACAAGAATAAAAGTAGCCCATTAAAAAATGGACAAAGATTCTAAATAGCCATTTCTTCAAAGAAGATACATACACAAAGAAAACAAGCTTAACATCATTAGGTATCAAGGAAATGCAAATCAAAACCAAAATGAAGTACCACTTCACATCCATTAGCATGGCTAGAATCAGACAGACAAGAACAATGTCGGTGAGGATGTGCATAAATTGGAATTCCATGTATTTCTGGGGAAGGTACAGTAGTGTACCCACTTTGGAAAAGAGTCTGCCAGCTCCTCAGAAGATTAAGCACAGAGTCATTATAAGACCCAGCAATTCCGTCCCTAGGTATATACTCAAGAGAAATTAAAACAGGTTCACACGAAAACTTATACACAAATGTTCAGAGCATTAGTCGTAATAGCCAATGTAGAAATAGTTCACATGTCTATTAACTGATGAATAGAAAAATAAAACTTGGTATATCCATATAATGGACCATTATTCAGCAATAAAAGGGAATTAGTTACTGGTACCTGCTACAATATGGATGAACCTTAAAACATTATGCTAAATGAAAGAAGCCAGTCAAAAAAGACTGCATATATATTGTGTGATTCCATTTATATGAAATATCCAGAATAGGCAAATCTATAGAATAGGCCTGAGGAGAGTTAGGGAAACGAGGAGCTAATGGAAACGGATTAGTGAAATGTTCTTTGGGAAAGAATGAAAATTTTCTAAAATTGGTGTGGTAATGGTTGCACAACTCTCTGAACAGACTAAAAAACAACGAACTGGACTCTAAATGGATGAATTATGCAGTATGTTAATTGTATCTCAATAATGACACCTAGCCCCTCTCCCAGCTTCTCATTTAAATAGAAGTGGGGCCTTGGCATCAATAGGTTTTATAAGTTCCCAAAGTGATTCTATTAAGCATCCCAAATTAAGAGCCCCTGACCCAAGGAGAGAAGGAGTGTAAAAAAACGAAATTATCCATACCTCCTGGGGATCCACCACACAGTAGTGATACAAATATTGATCCACGTATAATCCAGAAGTTGCAGGTGTATAAAACTGGTTGCAGAGGGCAATAATTTGTGAACCATACATAGACCCAGAAGCCTGGGCAGTTGGATTGACTCCCATTATATAGACGATTGTGGCAATAAACAGCATGAAGCCCAGGATAGCACTCACTATTATCACGGTCAGGTAATATCTTCTTGTTCTAGATATTTCAGATCTTATAACACTGGTAACAAATATTACCAATGCAGCAATGAAACAAAAGGCAGCCATAGACAGCAGGAAGCCCTTTGCCGCTCTCGGATCTGTATAGCCTGTTCCATAGCCATAACCATAGCCATAACCATAGCCATTTCCGTAGCCTCCAAAGCCACCTGTTCCAAAGGGGTAGCCTATACCACCTCCTAGTATGTTGTTTCCATAACCTCTGTCCCAGGCAAGTGTGGAGGCGACGCAGGCAAATATGGCAATGCACATCACGATAATGAGCATAGACAGAATCCGAATCACTCCTGGAGGAGAGGTCCACTTGTAGAAGTGAAGAATTTCATCTTCTGGGTAGAAAGAATACGCCGTGTGGGAGAGCATTGGTCGAACATTCATCTCTGCACCATACATGTCATTGCTTGGTGCATAATGACTGGGTTTGCTGGAATACATACGAAAACAATTTCAAGTTAGCACTTTTTGGAGGTAAGCAGAAAGAACATACGAAGTACTTGGAATAATGTAAACAAACCATTGGCCAAAAAAGCTATTGTTAGCAACTGCCTCACTACACTGGGGCGGTTTACATCCCCCCCAAATTCAAATGTCAACATCCTAAGTCCCAATGTGACGGTATTAGGAGGCCTTTGGGAGGTAACTCAGTCATGAGGTGAAGCCCTCATTAATGGGAATAATGTCCTTATTTAATAGGCCCCAGAGAGCTCTCTTGCCTCTTCCAACATGTGAGAACTCAACTAGAAGTCAGCAGTCTACAGCGTGGGAGAGGGCTTTCACCAGGACCTGATAATGTGGACATGACACCCGATCTTGGACTTTCAGCCTCCAAAACGGAGAGAAATCTCTGTCATTCATAATGTACCCAGCCTGCAGTCCTTTGTCACAGCAGCCTGAATGGACCCAGGTACCCTCTGAACCGAAAAGACATCTGTGCATCAGAATCCTCTGAAGGCCTTGTGAAAGCACAGATTGTTGGCCTCTACCCCCAAAGTCGCTGATTCTGCAGGTCTAGGGTAGGACAAGTTTCCAGATGATGCTGATGCTGCCAGTCTGGGAACCACAGAAAGAGAGTCACTGCTCTAGGTTCTATGTATGGAACAGAAGTTCTCAAATTCTGCTACACACCAGAATCACCCGGAGAATGTGTCAAATCCCCAGATGGGACACTCCATACCAGTTAAATCACAGTGCCTGGGGATGGAACCCCTGAAGCTTAAAGTAATGGCATCAACCCTTCTGCCTGTGTGACTTGAGACCGGTGCATCCAGACATGACACATACAATGGCGCACTGATAAACGTGTGATTCCTGGTAGCCCCGCTCCCCTACCTAAGAAGGTACATGGATTCATTTATTCATTCGACAGCTTTTTACTGGCACTGCCAGGCTGGGGTTGTGCTCAGCACTGGGGATACAACAGTGAACAGAACGGTCTCACCCCAGTCTCCTCAGAGCTGAGTCTCTGTCAGGGTGGTAAGACATTAATCCTTACAGGATCTGTAGTTAGTTATGGTAAGAGTTACAAAGCAAATCAAATATGTAATGAGGACTCATGAGGGCAATGCCTAATTGGATCTTGATTCTCCTTTATAAAGCTATCTTGAAAACCCCAGTAATTTCATCATAAGCACGCTTGTAAAAGGCACACTGATGCGTGGACGCACTGAATTCAAGAACCGCATGCGTTGGGGAGGCAAAATTCAATCAGTAAACTGACCTCAGCCCTGTTTGTTTCTGCCATTATTTCCACAGTTCATCTTCCTCACCCCAAGGCAAGGTATCTGACTATACTGTAAATGCTTCAAAAAACTATCTGAGTGTATGAGAATGAAAAGGAAGTGAAGAAACTGGAGAGAACACTGATAAGCTGGTCCTTGACAATACCAACTATGAAAGCTCCATAATCCCTTCCACTCAAATATTTGGGTTGTCTCCGTTTGGGGCCGTCATAGACAGTGTAGCTCTGAGTATCTTGAACATCTTGTATCCTGGGACACACGAGCACTTATTCTTCTAAGGTATGTACCCAGGAGTAGAATTTCTGGGTCAATTTTGTTGTTGTTTTTTTTTTAGTTTCGGCTCTACTAGACAATGTCAAACTGTTTTCCAAAATGACTGTATCAGCTTACTCCCATTAACAGTGTAATGTTCACAGAAGCACTGCTTATGATAACCCCAAACTGGAAACAGTCCAAATGCCTACCTAAAGGGGAATGGGTGCAATATTGTGATTTTTTTAAGAACTATGTATTCGATCACTCATTCAGTTGACCAAATAAATTTTTCTCATATACATTTGGTCTTCCACAATTCCTGGCTCATAGCTCTAGGAACCCTCAGAATTTCCTATGTACTGAGAGTGAGAGAGGTGTCTTTTGTTATGTTAATGAGGTAGCCAGTAGAAAGCACTAAGGGTGGGAGAGGGTTGGAACTTTTAAGTCTTTCTTTTATAAGTATTACCATACTTTATTATTTTTAAAGATTTTATTTACTTATTTTTAGAGAGAGGAGAAGAGAAGGAGAAAGAGGGGGAAACATCAATGTGTGGTTGCTTCTGACACATCCCCTACTGGAAACCTGGCCCACAACCCAGGCATGTGCCCTGACTAAGAATCCAACCAGTGACCCTTTGGTTCACAGGCCAGCCCTCAATCCACTGAGCCACACCAGTCAGGGCTATTATTATTTTTTTATCATTTTATTTCTCTATTGTTAGAGAGAGGGGAAGAGAGGGAGAAAGAGAGAAACATTGATGTACAAGAGATATATCAGTCGGTTGCCTCTTGCACGCCCCTAACTGGAAACTGAGCCCACAACACAGGCATGTGCCCTGAGTAGGAATCGAACTGGCGACCTCTCAATTTCCAGGCCAGCACACAATCCACTGAGCCACACCAGCCCGGACAGGAACTTTCAGTCTTAACCCCTACCCTCCATGCTCCATCCAACCACTCACACTACCTCCAGGTAGGGAAGAGAGGCTACAGGTTGAATCAATTGCCAAATGCCAATGACTTAACCGATCACGATTATGTAACAAAGCCAATTCAGAAAGCTTCCAGGTTACTGAATGTGTGGAAATTCAGGGACAGTGGTGCGTCTGGAGAGGGCATGGAAGCTCTAAGCCCTTCCCACATACCTTGCCCTATGCATCTCTTTCTCTGGCTTTTGCTGAGTTATGTCCTCTGCAATAAACCAGTAACCTAGTAAGTAACATGTTGCTGAGTCCTGTGAACTGTTCTAGCAAATTAGTTGAACCTTAGGAGAGGGCTGTGGGAACCTCTGATTTATAGTCAGAGGTGCAGGTAACAAATGGGCATTCTGAACTGGAGCTTCCAATCTGCAGTCAGTTGGTCAGAAGCACAGAAAACCTACGGCAGTCTTGTAGGACTGAACCATTAACCTGTGGGATGTGAGGTGATCTCTGGGTAGGAAGCGTCAGGGAGCTGAACTCTTGAACACCCTGCTGGTGTCCGAGAATTGTTTGTTGGTGTGTGGGGAATGCCCTACACTGGAACTGGTCCGGGGACCCAGTTTAATAGGTAACTGTGATACATCCATATGATGAAATGCTACACAGCTATGCTAACATGGCAGCCACTAGCCATGCAGGTTTACTGACCACTTGAAGTGTGGCTAGTCCACACTGAGATGTGCTTTTAAATATACTACTCTGGTGGAGGACACTGATAATGAGAAAGGCTATGCATGTGTGTGGGCAGGAGGAATAAGGAAAATCTCTGTACCTTGCTCTGAAGTTTGCTATGAATGTGAAACTGCTCTAAAGTATAAAGTCTTTAAAAAAACACAATGTAAGCTATCCCACGAATCAGTTTTTATACCAATCATGTGTTGAAATGATAATATTTTGGATATATTAAGTGAAATACATCATTAAAATTAATTTCTTTTGTTTTCAATATGCATTTAAGAAGACATAAAACTACATACATGGCTCACATTATATTTCTATAGCACTGATCCGTATGTCAGAACAGGACTTTGAAGTGTTGTTTCTTTCTTGACCTAGGTGATACTGTTCTCTGCCTTTTTCTACTTGTATATAATATTTCATCATCATTTATAAAAGCAACACAAAATAAACCTCAGGTAATGCAACGTTACTCAATAGCTATGCTCTCTAACATTTTTAATGACCACATTGCCATAAACAACTGTGTCCATGTTCGAACCAAGTTCAAGTTATTAGTCAAGAGACTGTAATATGAACTAAACCCCAACTACAGTTATCGAAGAGTTAACCACACAAACTACTTAAAGGAGGCAATCCCTAGCAATGCTTGGTAACAAATTTAGAATGGAAGGATCCACTGTTAAACCCATATATCCAGGGATGCCAATAACCCTCAGCTTTGCTTGTTTCATATAATGGCAGCAATCACTCTTAAAATTGACAATGCTATACACATTAGGCTAAGTGAAAGAAGTGATCACAAAAGACCATGTATTGTATGACTTCATTTACAGGAAATGTCCAGAATGGACAAACCTAGAACAGAAAGTGGATTGTTAGTTGCTATGTACAGGAGGAAAATGGGAGAATGCTAATGGGCAGAAGTTTCTTTGGCAAGGGAGTCATAAAAATGTTCTAAAATTATGGTGATGCTTCCACAACTCTGTGACTTTATTAAAATCACTGAAATGAGCAAGATGTATGGTATATGAATTATATCTCACTAAAAGTGTCATTTTAAAAATCAATAAGTTGCCAACGGTCATTTAAACAAGGCGCTAATATGGAAGTTTCATACCAATAGTGAAAAACAAAAATGAAAAACAAAAAGAATAAATATACACACAAATATAAGCCTAGACTATACTGAAGCAAACATTAGAAACAGGTAACAAAGGTTGCCTCTGCAGAGAAAAACTGTCATCCTGGAAGTTATGGGTAAGAGGGAAATTCATTTTTCACTGAATACACATATTTTATTTTTAAAAGCAAACAAACAACGGATGAAAGTTTCAACAATGCTAGGTACATATTTTTTACATGTAACAGTCTTAAAAAAAAAAGAAAACTGAAGAATTATTTACTTACAATTCATCAGGTCTATATGGAGGTGGACTTTCAAAAGGCCTCGATGACATGGTCAATGGTCACCTGATCTTCAAGGTGAGCAATGTCCTGAAGCTCCCAAGATAAGCCAATCTAAGCAACATAAGTAGGATAATGACATTACTCTGAGCTCACAGTTTCCTTGCGTCACTAAGAAAACTAATGATACCAATCCCAAGTAACCTTTCACACCGTGTTTATCCCTCTTGTCCTTCCATCGCTCTTTTTGCATATTGGGCCATTAATTCCTTCAGCACAGGAGGTCACTGAGCGTAGCAGTCACTGAGCCTGACGGTCCCCACAGCGCCTAGCACCGTGCTCCGTCACCGCCCGCAGACAGATATTGTGCAACCTTGAAATCCTACGTCGTCGTAAATACCATTTTTTAAAAATGGTATTTATTTTTTTAATAGCCACTTCAAAGAATAAGGAAGGTGGGCATAAGAAAAAAATTTTTTTAATATATTGTTTCATATTACTTTGGAAAGTTCATACAAAATGAGAAAGCATATGAAATTGCAGAGCTAGCAGAGTCTAGCACATACTAGCCCCTCAATGTTAATTAAAGCATAATCTGGTTTAAAAGTGTGCTTTTCTCAATACAAATGATTACAAGAAGCAACTCTGAATGGTGGGACTGTGGACCTTCTCCCCTTCTGCTTTTCTAAGTCCTCAAAACTAGGCAGCTTTTACAAATCACGGGGGAGAAACATTAAATGCACATTGTGTTAAGGCACCCTCTTGTCTGAGGGAAAAGCAGAATGATTTTGTTCTAAAATTCCTCAATTTTTCCCAACTTCACTCAATCAACAAGTATTTATTAAGTGCCTCCACTATATGGCAGGAGCCTGTAGAAGTTCAGTTCTGAGCCAGTTCTCCTCAAGGTCACACACAAAGAAAACAGGCATTACTTAGGGCTGAACTTTGCTACAAAGTGCGGCCTGCAGATGACCATAGACCTAAGAGGGAGCAGAAAGGAAGGAAGGAGGAAGGCCACTTGAGCAAGATCTATTATCTGAGTATATTAATGTGCCTAATATTTTTTCCTGCTCAAATAGAGTATGCGCAATCTTACATCGCTATACTTGGAACAGTGAATTGATTCAAGCTCTTTAAACTTTGTTCTTTAAAATCAATGGCAGCAATTGTCCACAAATGTCTTAGAATAAAATAGTGCCCAAATGTATATTAGGTAAAACCTCAAAGGTGGAAATACAGTGAATGTTAGTAACATCAATACAATTAGCACACTTTTTCCAAACACATCGTAGGACGACTTCTCTACATTCTTTTATTTCTAAAAGCTGTTTTATTGAACTATAACATACAGAAAGTCCACAAATCATAGGTGTACCCAGCCCTGTAACTAGCACCCAAACACATATATAAATGAGCACTTTAGGCCAAAACATTATAGTGCTATAAGAGTAAAAGTCCAGATTAAATGTCTCCTTAATTGACAGTCAGAAAAATATTTAGAAAAACTGAACTTAGACATTATGGAAGGCAGGACCCTACTTCTGAAGCTGAATGTCGAATACTGACAGACTGACTCGAGAGGAGGAATCTTATTCCTTCTATACCTGTGACTCACTCATTCAAGACTATGTCAAAAATTCCAGGCTCAGTGACTCTTCTTGAAAATTCAAAGTTAATCCAGACCCAGGCTGTAATTTTTGTCAAAAATCCAGACGACAATAATATCCCTTTCCAAATGGCTATGTCCTAGATTCAGAGTTTAGTTGTCATGTCTTCTCTAATAGCAAAGATTTTAAATTGTGAGGTAAATAATTTTAGAAAGCTCATTAAGAACAAGTCATGCCACACCAACTTCCTTCTTTTGATATAGGTGAAGGAAACGCAGGGAGAATCCTGAGAATCTTGAGCATATCCTTGTGTCATTAGACAGATTTCTAAGGGGCTGAACAATGGAACCTAATTAGGACGAAAGAACGGACCATTTATGTCCACCTGGAGGGAGGTGTCTAGTGGTGACTACACACAAAGAGGATGCAACAAACTAATCCAGATTTGCAGCTAGCAAGCCCACTGGCTACAAGTCCAGAAACACTGATGAAGTTCTCTGTAAGGCCAGAATGACTGGCTGAAATAAACGTAGTGGTGGTATTACAGCTCAGGGCCTTCCACAAGGTGCTCATCTCTGAGCCTCACTACCATCCTCTGTCAAATTGGGGGGTAATCCCGACCTCTCAGCGGGGATAACTAAGTAAAACTATGAAGTAAGAAAGACAAGAAAATGTATTCATAGCAAGGTGGTTGTCCTGAAGGTGAGAAGTATCAGTGTTTAGGCGATTGGGTATACTTTATATATCTTCAAATATCAGTGATATGGATAAATCAATGTAAAAATGTAAACTCAATTTTAAAAAATTAGGAAAGTACTGGATAGGGAGAGCTGATTTAATAACTCCATTTTTTAAATAACTTTTTAAAAATTGATTTGAGAGAGAAAGAAAGGGAGGGAAAGAGAAGCATAGACTTGTGGTTTCACTTATTTATGCACTCATTGGTTGCTTCTTGTATGTGTCCTGACCAGGGATCAAACCCGCAACCATGGTGTGCGGGGACGGCATTCTAAACAACAAGCTCCCCGGCCAGGGCCAATAACTGCCCATTTTTAAAAGTGTATTTCCTTGGTGAGAATTTCAACAAAAGCTAATGTTCTACTACAAACACAAGCAGTAATCACAGAGGTAGTGTTTGGATCTAGGAATGACGTGGTTATTAAAAAGAAGCAAACCCCTGCATAACCTTAAAATTTGTGCATCACGTACCAACTAAGTGCCTCTCCAGGAGGGTGACTAAAATTACTAAAGAGTGCTTTTTTCTAAAGATTGTATTTATTTATTTTTAGATAGAGGAGAAGGGAGGGAGAAAGAGAGGGAAAGAAACATTGATGTGTGAGAGATACAGTGATCCCAGACATGTGCCCTGACTAGGAATTGAACCGGCGACCCTTTGATTCACAGGCCAGCACTCAGTCCCCTGAGCCACATCAGCAAGGGCTAAAATTATTAAAGATTTTAAAAAATCATGTCTTAACACAGATGACTGGAAAGACAGGAAATGTTTGGCCTGGAGAACTCAACATTAGAAGGATCACTATGGCCACCTTCAAATATGTAAAGAGCTGTCTTTGTAGTCCTGGAAATGGTTCTTTGAAAAAACTAAAAAACAGGGTCAGGTTTCCTCTCAATGTTAGGAAGAATCTCCCTTACCATCCCAAAATAACAACTAACAATTCGATCTCATGCCAATTCTGCAAAACTTAAGTTGTTTGATATTTTGGGGAGACTGGACAGGACTTAAAAGGTCTCTTTCAAGGCAGCCTGTGGCTGTGCTTTAAGGCCACAGCCAAAGGCGAAAGAGCCAAGACACAACAGACTGTTGTCCAATGCCCAGAACAGTAAGTCATGACAGTGAAGGGACATAAGTCAAACAGCTAAGTTAGAGTCAGGGGCAGAAAGTAGCAAACACTTGATGAATATGTTAAGCTGAAAGCCAGCTAATGTTATCATATAACAAAAGTTCTCCCCTTGAAAATGTTTAGTGGTCAAAAGCTATCTTAATTTTTAAAAAAACCAAGTTAATTTGAAACTGAAAAGTTTGAAAATACTATGCCCCAAAATTATTCTTTGAAGCAAACTGTCAAAAAAGTAAAAAATATCTGGCTGGTATGGCTCAGCGGATTGAGCGCCAGTGCCGACCTGCAAACTGAAGGGTCACTGGTTCGATTCCCGGTCAGAGCTCATGCCTGGGTTGCAGGCCAGGTCCCCAATAGGGGTACATACGAGGCAACTACACACTGATGTTTCTCTTCCTCTCTTTCTCCCTCTTTTTCCCTCTCTCTAAAAATAAATAAATTCTTTTTAAAAAAAAGTAAAAACTGAACTTTATTATATTTAAGGGCAGACGGTTCCCTTTCAATCACAGACAGCAATAGTTAATTTGCTTTTTAGAAGTTTTTTAAATTTGCCTGATATTAAATGACTTTACTTATGTTATAGGCACATCATTAGTTAACTGCCTAAAATTTTGAAATTAGGCAGATCTTGAAATTAGGCAGATTTCAAAACAGATTTTGAGCTGTGTCAGAAACTGCATTTTTAATAAGCTCTCCCTAATTAAAAAAAAATATTTTAATTTATCTTAAAATAAGATAAATTTCGAACACATCATATATTTTGAGAATCACTGCCTAGAATAAAAGCAGCCGTCCAAGGAAGGCCTTGATCTTGTGTGTTTCCTGTCTAGTACGTTCAGATCTTTTCATGGCAGGTGCCTGTGGTTCAGGTCTCAGCTCAAATGCCACCTCCTCAGAGATGCCTTCCCAGTCACACATTTCACCCACGAAATCTGTTTTACTTTCAGAGCAAGTTTCCCCCTTAACTAAAATTAGGCTTTCTTTTCTTTTTCTTTTTTCTTTTTTTCACTGCCACCATCTCCACTCCAACTGGAATACCAGCTTCACAAGCACTTAGATGTCTGTTTTGACCATCACTGCTATTCCTGATTCCTGGTAAAAAGTGATCTACCAATATCTGACTTATAAAACCAACAGCCCATAACACAGGTGGGGTTTCAATCCAGCAGTGGCCATCCTCAAGTTCTTCACTCGTAACACCCAGCAAATACAATCTTTTAAGTTTAACAAACATAATTAAGAGCTTATAGTCTGAGAGGAAAAGAGAGATAAGGGTGAAATACACAACCATGTGGGCATCACCTGGGAGCTTGTTAGAAATGCAGAATTCGAGGCCCCACCTCTGACCTATTAATCAGAATCTGTATTTTAATAAGATCCCCAATTGATTCATACCACATTCAAGACTAAGAAGGTAACTAGGTTTAAAGGTGTTTATTCACTTTTAAAAGAGTTCTAATAAGGCTCACCTTTTAGAGTGGTTGATTAAATGATGTAACATACAAAGACTTTTAGAACAAACCCTCCAACACAGGAGGAACTGCCCATCATTCTCCTACATAGCCTGGAAGTTGTCTAAATCTCACTAATCTCTCCATCACCTAACAAAGGAGGCACCTATAACTAAATAAACGCAAAACTACAGAAAACCAAAATTGTCTCTTTGAGGCGATATCTATTACTGTGGATACACTATTTAAAATGTCTATTTAAAAAAATCAGAAAGAGAAAATAAAGATCCATATGTTCAATGCAAGAGAATCATTGTTATAGTTGGGAATGAGTAGTTTAAGAAATCTACCTCCGTGTAGAATGAACTAGTTTCAATCACAGCAAGAATCGCCAGCAGTGCCTTAATGGTAAGGGTTTCTCTTTCCCCTTCTCCGGGAATCCCAATAATACACCTGTTGTGAGAAAGGGCCACTCACTAACCTGTAAGGCTGCCTCTTCTCCGCCCCCAGTCCTTTCCCAAGGAGGCAGTTTGCCCAGCCAGCCCCAGGGCAGGCCTGAGGATGGATGCGGTGGCGTCTCCTCCCCTTCAGTCGCTTCACCTAGGGCACAAGGGGCTCGGAATTGCTCTTCCAGCCCCAAGGTGCAGAGGCCATTTTGGCCCCTCAACCCACCTCTCCCCGCACACTTCCTCCGACAAAGGCAACATGTCTGCTGGACTTGCAGGTCTCAAAACCCGGCGGCTCGGCCGGGGCAGGTTTGAGGTTCGCGCACCCCGTCGCACCTAGGAGCGCCCCAGGCACGGCGCGCTGGCCGAGCAAGGACCGCCCTGAGGCCTTCGGTCACGGCTGAGAATCCGAGCGTGAGCAAATTCCCTCGAAGCACAGTCTCTCTCGAAATTAAATCTCCGTCCTCCCAGCTTAAATCCACGAGGGTTCACCCAACTCCCACTAAGTGGGCTCAAAATTCAAAATAGTCCCTCGGCGCACACCGCCACTCCAGGAATACAGTAGTTCTTGGATTCAACACGGCCTCCCTCCCTCTCTCTCCCAGAGATACTCAAAGGGGTGGGGTGGGGACGGAAATGATGAGGTTTCCCGGGACCCAGGTCCCCCGGCCAGCGAGCGCCCCTCTCCAGCTCTCAAGACCCCCGAAGAGCTGAGCGCCGCGCTCCCTCTCCCTGAGGATCCTGCAAAACTGCAGCCCGGAGAGCAGCGCACAGGATTCTCACTGTTCCCGAACCTCCCGCCCCACTAAAAGCTAAGTTGCCCGCGCCGCCTGGGCACACACTCTAACAGTAAAGAATTTCCACCGAAGGAACTGATCGGCGCCTCCAAGTGGCCCTGGCCCCGGGACGCAGCCTCCAAGTTAGCGCCGTTCGCTCCGCGGACCCGCGCCTCTCCGGTTCCCCGCGAGTCCCAGCCCAGGGGCGAAACTGCCGCCGAAACCAGCCCGAGCGCCCTTCCCCCGCGCCTCCCCTACCACACACGGTGACCGCGGTTCCCCCACTGCATCCAACTCTTCACCTACTCACTACGGCCCAGCCGGAGCCACCAAAGACGGTGGGAGCGAAGCAGTGCGCTCACCTGGCGGTCGCACCTGACGCTGTGCGGACCGCCAGCACACAGCCCCGGACCGGGTTAGGGACCAGCCCTCCTCCTTGCCCTCCCCCTTCTCCTCCTCCATCCCCCTCCCCGACCGCCCTGCCCGCGGGCATGCGCACCAAGGCCCGGCAGGGCTGCGGGAGGTCCGCGGCCCCGCCCGGGCGATCCCCACCTGCTGCTCTCCGCACGGGTTCCTCCGCGCCCTGGCAAGCTCTCCCGGGAGTTCCTCCGTCTCTGCCTAAGGAAGGAGAGAGAAGGAGGTGGACACTGGCGAGGAGGTGTGGTGTGGCCGCCTCCTCCCTCGGTGACCCATTCACCTGAAACTCGGAAGGGAGGGGGGAGGAAGAGGTGGAGAAGGAGGCGGGAGAAACCGGCCCTGCTCCGCACACTCTTGAAGAGCGCGGAGTTAAAGGAAAAGCTCCACGTTTCAGGGGTAGAGACAGGGACCTAGCGCCGAGGAAGGGCTCGGACCCCCGGTCGTGGACCACCCTGGGGCGCGCTCGGAGCTTCGCGGGTTTCTGGTAAAACAGTAAAATAGAATATACGGAAGACTGTTTTACTCCTGAAGGAGAGGCCAGGGTGCTCGGGACTTGGGCAGGAATAACACGTCTTCATACAGTTTTATCGTGCTCCACAATTTAGTTAAAATTTTGTTGGAAAGAAGTATCCAGATGTGGGAGATTTTCAAAAGTCATGCGTACATTTAGAAACTGTTTCTGAATTTCTGGATTCGGAAAAAAAAGGCCATTACTCAGAGTGGTTAAATGAAGGTGAGGTACCGTAAATAATAGTATCGGTGAACTTGCCATCGCAATTAAGTACACACCACAGTAAACATTATTACCACTTAAGGGTCCTCTGCCCGCATCTCCCAGTTTCGCTATGGTATGGTGGAGAATCTCGGGGGAAGGATTTAAACAATTTTAGTATTATCTTTGGCTTTTTTAAAAGCCTAGTTTTGTATGCTGTTGTCTCTTTCTTGATCTGGAGGCTGTTTCCAAAGCAATGTTCAGTGAGCAAAATTCATAGTCGACACTTAAGGATGTATATATTTTTATATACGTATGTTGTAGTTCAACATTTTTTTAAAATCTAATACTCCAGAATGTGGCCATTTTAGTTCTTGCTATTTAACTACTGCATTGAAGGCTAGAATTTAGGTTTCTTAAATCCTGCTTCACTCGGTGTTCCGATCTGGAATGTCAGCATTGCTGATGCATTTGTGTCCAGTCCCGCCCACTTCTCTACCTTTAATTAAGTGGTTAGAGATGTAACGCTCCCATATAATAGATCTTAAGCCATAATTCTTAAGGAAGTAAAAGCAGTATACAAATATAAAATATTTAAAATGATGACAGCCTTAATGGATAATTAATCTGATTGGTATTGTTTTTGTGGAAGTCACTGTTACAATTACTTGAATATGACTGTAGTTTTTGAATGATGCAGTTTTAATTGGTGGTATTAACACTGGGGAAGTTAAGTTAATCCTTTTAATGTTCCCTGTCAGATTACTGAAATCTCCAAACATTCCACTCGGTTTATAATTAAACAAGGGAACATTTCCTAATACTCTCAGATTTTTAAACAGGCATCTAAGGAAGGGAGAGAGAGGGAGAGAGTTGTTCCACTCATTTACACATTGATTGGATGATTCTTGTATGCACTTTGATCAGGATCAAACCCACAACATTGGCCCGTTGGGCCGACACACTGACCAACTGAGCTGCCCAGCCAGGGCCATTATTTTTCTTATTCCCACACCAAACTTAAACCCCAAGGTGTGTTCTGTTAGAATGGAAGGTAAATTACCACATTTCATTTGCTCTCCTTATTCATTCATTCAACAATTTTTTGAGTGACTACCATGTGCATAACAGTTACCAAAACCCCCAAAAATCTTGTCTTAGCAAAGCTTACTTTCCTATTGAATTCATACATATGGAATATTATAATTTATTAAGTTGAACTATATGAAATTAAAAATAGTTGATCATTTTTACCTGCAAAATGGCAATTTCATGTGGTTCAACTTAATGCTAAGCAGAATTTCTGTTGGAATGTTGTATGCCATTTTTATTCCATTCAGATTAATTTTCCAAATGATGCTCACAAAATTGAACAATCTAAAAACTGTGTTATTTCAATTGTTGACTAATAGTATGCATATTAGGTAGTAGTTGAAAACGTTCAGGAAAAAAAATGCAGCCTCGAAACCTAAATATGTCATTCTTCAATAGCAAAAGAAAATTTGTCGGATGCTAAATGTTACCATGCTCAATGTAATCATGTTATGTAGTCATAAATTATAGCAAATTTTTTTTAAATCAAATATTCCTTCTTGGCAACTCACAGTAGAATTATGGACTGGGATCCACTACTGACCATTTGATGAAAATCCCCACGTCTCAAACAAAGGAATTAGAAATTTGTTTATTTTCCCTACAGTTAAATGCATGGTAAATTTTTAAAAACCATTTTTTCCCCTTAAGTTTTATATGAAACGGAGAAATTTAAGAACTCAGAATATGGTGTCAGAAATTTGGGTTCAAATATCATGTTGCCACTTACTAGCTGGATAGGACTAATCCTTAAGGGAAGTTAAAGTACATAAGCCTCATTTTTCTCCATTGTCAGTTTGGAATGATAACAAATAGTACTCTATTCATAACATTGTTGAGACACACGTGGACTGTTCACCAAGATAAACCAGGGGCTGGGCCACAAAACAAGTCTCAATAGATTTACCAAATGATTTGCTATATCCCATCTTCCTCAAATGGTCCCTGCCACAGAGTTCTTCCATGTGGTGAATGAGCAAATAAATATGCAGTAACCCTGATTCTTGAATCGACATGCTTGTGGAGTCTTGTCCATCTCTCTGATAGTCTCCTGCCATTGTGAAAACAGCACGTTCCTTAAGAGCATTTCCAGGCTTGCATCTCTAGTACTAGATCTCAGAGGAGAAAAGAAGGGGATTAGAATATTTCCTCTCTGCTTCACCTGCTTAATGAATGGATCCAAAGATTGCTATTTGTTCAAGGGCAACTCAGTTTGGAGTTGCTGAGGGCCTGACAGGAAGGGCCTGTGGTTTCCCCACCCAGTCACAAGGTGGGAGGCACCTAGTCCGCTCAAGGCAGTTTCCTTGGACAGATTATGGAGGAGTTTATGAGGAAGTCACAAGGAAAGCAATTTCTGAGGAGATGATGACAGGTGGTGAGTAAAGTTTTGTCTCCTTGGTCCCTAAATATTAAGCAACATCCTCAAGGAGGAGCCAAGGTTAAACAGTCTCTGAACTGGAACCTCAACAAGCGCAACAAGTGGAAGAATAGTAATTGTAATCACCATCAGGGTAACTATGGGCCAGGCGCTGTAGTAAATGCTTTATGAACGAGTTTTTTGTGGGGGTTTTTTCCTGTCTTTACAACAATCTTATGATGTAATATTATTTTCCCTATTTCTGGAAAACTAAAGCTAAGAAAAGTTGGACCATCTACTCAAAAAATCCACTCCACTAAATTGTAGTGTCTGGATTCAAATGCAGGTTATCTAATTCCGGAATTAATGTTCTTAACAGTTTTACTGCTTTTTGTCTCAAAAAAAAAAATCACCCGTACTCCTTTAAACTACCCGTAAAAAGAATTCAGAGTACAGTCATAGAAAAAAATAATCATTAAAAAAATTGGGATACAATGAAATGTTATGGATGAGAATGAACCAATTCAAGCACCTCCTGACAACACGGTGAATCATTCAAACATAATACTGAACGAAATAAACAAGAAACCCCAAAATGAAGAATGATCCCATTTATATACATTTCAAAAACAGGCAAAACTAAACTATATCATTTGGGGTAAGTAAGCAAAAACTGCAAGGGGAAGCAAAGAAATTATTATCGTAAAAGTCGAGGTAGTGGTTACCTCCAGGAGGAAAGAAAAGGGTAAGGATGGGAAGAGAAGGGCGAGGATGCTTTTGGAGGGCTGGCAGTGCTCTGCTTCCCGACCCGGGTGCGGGTTCCAGGACTGTTAGCATTATAACAGCTTACTAAACAGTACGTGCTTTATGCACTGTTTTGAATGAATTTTCTATTTTATACTAGAAATTTTACATAAAGTAATAGAATGTAGAGGCATTCTTAAGAGATTATTAGTGACCTATGTCTAGGGGTTTTGTTTTGTGAATAATATTCCTCAAATGCCAGCAAAAAAATAACTTTGTAGAATTAGAGGAAGTTGAGATCATCCCTTGAAATGGGAGAGGAAGGATTTTGATCTGGGACAGAATATTGCCCACATTATAAGGGTGATGCAGAGAAAAGAGTAGGACTGGTTTTTTAATTGAATCAGCCATAACCATTTCCACTGCAGTGGAAAACTGGCCTTACAGGCTTTTTCAGGAAATGGCCTTCCTGAAGTTTTTCAGTTCAAAAGAGGAAAGAGGAAAAAGTAAACATTAACCAAATATTGCATATACTGTGTTCTCATATCTAATTTTAACTTCATGGGTCTCTTTACTTCCTGTGTCCCCAAACTTTAAAATGCACTGGTAATAACCTGGTAAGTTATCACTATGAATCCTAACCCTAGAAAAATCACGTCAACTGGGCTAGTATGCAACTGATAGACTTTAAGTAGACCACAAACTTATCTTGACATTCAGTTGGTTATGAGGTACAGTTCTTTTATTCATTAGAGGGGCTTCCACATGGCAACTTTCTGATTTTATTCATATTTTCTTTAGGAAAAACCTTTAGGAGACTACAAAGAGAAACTCCGTACAGCTCCTGAATTGCTAACAAATGTTACCAGATGTTAGACCTCAGTCCTTGAGTTCTGGCTAAGGAAGAATTCAGAGTCAAGACTCAAATACAAACAAAAGTTTATTTAAACAGTCAAAGCATATGACTGGTGTGGCTCAGTTGGTTGGGTGTCATCCTGCAAAGCAAAAGGTAGCCTGTTCCATCCCCAGTCAGGCCTGTTTTGCAGTTTTGGTCCCCAGTTAGGGAGCATACAAGAAGCCACCAATCACTAAGAGGTAATGTAAAAAATACAATAAAGATTAAATGTTTAAAAAATAAATAAATTTGCCTGGCTGGTGTGGCTCAGCGGATTGAGTGCCAGCCTGCCAACCAAAGAGCTGCCAGTTCGATTCCCAGTCCAGGGCCAGGTCCCCAGCAGGACCGCACAGGGGGCAACCACACATTGTGTTTCTCTCCCTCTCTTTCTCCTTCCCAT